ATTATACAGGATTGATGAGGGAATTCAGGAGGAAAGTAAGGACCATTCAATTGCATTTAGAAAGCAAAGAGCATAGAACATCGCCTATGAAGCTAGCCAGAATGGCTTAAATGAAAAAGTTGTCTGCTCTGCATTACTTCTGCTGAAAATAGATGAATTCTGCTATGGCGTGGAATTTTACTACTCCCAGACACAGACTAAACAAAGCAAATAAGATTATTTTAAAATGTGCTTTAATTTCTGTATGACTCTCTGGCATTTCATCTTCAATATTGAAGTATGTATCCGTTTACAGAGCTTTGGTGTGCTTTTCCACAACATTATTATCATGCTCTATAATTAACCTTTTGTTTAGCAATAGCAATTATAATTAAATTAGCATGCTGAACTATATAATATTTCATGCTAAACCTGCAGCTGTTGACTTCATTTCAGTTTGAATATAGACAAGGTACTGAAATATATTTTCCCCTGTATCATCTTATTAAAATAATTGTAAGGGTCTTATAAAAAGAACAATCTCAATGAACTTATATTAAATTTTAATTTCAACAACTGATTTTGTCATTATATGTTATAGATGTTGTCTCACCATGAAACATGAACACTTAAAGAATTAAACGGACTGCAATTTTAATTAACTTCTACATAGCAAGATGATATTAAATTGTTTCTGCTTTAAAGCTTCTGTTAAATGCAGTTTGGTTTTTTTTTTTGTCTAATTCCTCATAATTTTGTTCTTTTTTTCCTTATAGCTTTCTTGACACCTCTTTCACAGAATTGTTCAAATGCCTGATAATAAGACTATGTCCTGTAACTGTCCAGCAAGTTTATCTGCTGCATATTCTCTTCTGCTGCCTTAGATAACATTTCTTACTTCTTACAGGAGCCCTTAGTTCAGATCTGTTTTATTTTATGAATTTGTCATTCACAGCTTCTGTCCTCCAGAGTCATCTGCTTCTGCATACGTCTTTTTTTCCCCATTCCAGTTTTGTGAATGCAATATCTGGTTTGAATGAGCCAATTAATTAATTCTCAACTTCTTGAAATATAATTTTATATCCCAGTCACAGGGGGATACTATAATTCCTTCAAACATTGGTCTGCCTGTCACATAACAGGAAACTAAGAAATACGTGGGCTTACTGCTAATTACTAAATATGTGTTCCCAAAATGGAACCTTCTTCTGGTGTGTAATAATGTTGTCAGCTTGCCAGTTCTCCAAGACAATCTAAATCATTCTACAGTTACCAACTTCGCTCTTCTTGCGATGATAAATTTCTCACATTTAAGACTCTTTCTTACCTGAACCTTCACTGAGACCAGTCCTCACTTTCTGGCAGGAAACATGGAATTCATCTGACTAAACAGTAAGAAACACATTTTGAGAGGATAAGAAACACATTTTGAGGGGATGTTTCATCTCAGTGTAGAATCTGTAGTATCTGCAACAGGTTAGATGACTCATATTCTATTTCCCCCATTCAATAGAAAGGGACAATATTTGTCACTTAAATTACTTGGAAGTATTCTGCTTTGGCTAACTCCACAGTAGTATTTATCTGTTGGAAACTTTTCCGCTGTGTGACTGACGCCACAGCCAGCAGCTAAGCACCCACACAGCTACTCACTCACTTCCCCCAGGAGTTCTTATCCTTGGAGGATAAGAACCTATCTGTTCAGCAATAGCCAACGCACTGATGTATTATAGCAAATTTTTAAGTCAGAAACCCAAAACACAGGACCACACTGGCTGCTCCAACGAAAGTTAGCACGATCCCAGTGAGATGAAATGCACTTCATCTCAGAAAATTAACAAACAAACATCACAACTTTGGCCCTTATTTCCAGTCACATTAGTTTAAACTGTACAGAGAGTGAAGGAAAATATTGTCTTACAATTAAATTTCCATCTTTAAGAAGAAAGCAAGGAACATCTTTTGTCCTATTTATTTCATGTTGTGTGCTCTCTCCCATATAGAACACTATTGCTTGTGTCCTTTCTTCTACTAGCAAAAACTGGGTTTAAGCAAAGCAACTACTATTCTCATCTCTTCTACATCATCAAACATATCAAAGGCAGTAACAAGCGGCCAGTTTTCAAACTGAAAACAAAAGCAAGCCTTTAGCATTTCAGATATAAATAGTCATCATAGAGCTCTTTTTAACTGGGCTTTTTTTTCCATTTAAACTCACCTATAAACCAGGTACAATATGACAACTGAGTTATAAATCTTAGAAATTGAAAGCAGACATAACACACCTGCCTGCAGATTAGACTTGTGCTTCATCTATTTACTATGCATAGTTCTGTGAAGACGCTTACATCTCTGCTCCAGAAACAAATACACAGCACTCCAAAATGATTTTGTGCTCTAGAGTACATTTTCAGTACAAATGAGCCTGCTTTGAGGATAGTAGTGCTAATTGCATAAAACCAAAATGTGCTCTGTAATTACCTTTTCTACCTCTTCACATCTTCACTGGGCCTGATGACCAGCCTAAAATAAACGAACAAAAAAATGCCTTTGCAGGTAGGTTTGCCATCTCTCTGCAAAAGTAAGGATGGAATTAATCTGCCTTATGCCTGAACTATCCACCCATTATAATCACTGGAGAGAAATATATATGTTCAGAGACTAATTCATCTGCCCTTTCTCAGCTTTTTGTCTTATGAGAAGATGAATCACCCCTGAAACATGACAATTTCTCTCTTTTGAATATGAAGGTTGACTGGAATGACCAGCTAACTTTCAACCAGTGCATCAGAACAGAAGACTGAGGCTTAAGAATACACACTGCAGTATGCTCTGCCTATAATCAGAATTCACAGCTGTAAGGGCAAGACACCATTTGATATCTCAATCCCTGCTTCTAAAAGGTGACTTATTTCTTCAAAGTATTGCAGGAGTAACTAGAAGTAAGATTTTAGTTCCATTCCTTATTCTTGTCTTTTTATTTATGTACGCATACAAGAACACATATATAGTGATCTTTGATTAAATATATAATCTACCACAAAAACAAGGACTTGAACCTGGAACTCACAGTGTAATTGCGTAATGAAAATGCTTCATAAAAAGTAATGTTGCCAAGATGAACCAGAATAGATTTCTAACTGAATATAGTACAGCGTAGCAGGATGCTCCACTGGGTAATGTAAGTTCAACCAACCAAAGCCAAAACAGTAAACTGGACTACAACCTCTGCAATTTTAAGTCCAAGTATTCCTTTAGCTCTGGCGCATTTCATACCAAACAGGTCAGTGGCCCAGAACAAAGCACAAATCTGAATGTACAAAAGACTGTATTGGATGCTTCTGTAGTTGTTTCTGTTACTGAAGTCTCCAATCTTTTCACCATCTCTCTTTCATCAAAAGCCTGTTTTATTAGCACCTAAGAATGCAGGATAGATCTGACTTGATAGAAAAGATATGCAGAGGAGTAGGCTGTAGATATTATAATAGGGGTGGACCTGCTGTACAAGTAAATTCTGCAGTACTAGAAGTAAAATATTTGTGGCACACATTCTGATATTAAAGATCTCTCTGTTGTGTAACAATAAACATTTTCAGAGTCAGTCAGCAGCTAATGAGGGTTAATATACAGGATTTAGAAGTTTTGGATTAGGAAAACATGTAGAGATAGTTAGATACTTAAATCTCATGCAAGTCTCCAAGCTTTCTACACATCATATCACAGTATTTACACGTCCCTGAAAAATATAAGCATACGCTTTGAGATGCTTCATGGTTAATCTATTCATTAATACATATTTAATGTCATCCTTAAGCCAAACAGATTGCTCCAGACATGCTATTAAACATTATTTGAATTGTACAGTGGGCCTGTAGCTCCAGTGACTTGATGCAATTATTCTTGATTTACACCAGAAAGACTGAAATAAAAGTCATTCTAACACACCAAAAGTCTTAAAATCTAGGAGGACAAAACCGTACTATTGGCAAGTACTTTAAAAAATTAAATGAACAACACTGTTTAGTGGAAATTCCCTTACAAGTTACTTTTAACAATAATTATATAATATATGTAGTTAGGACTGCTGTTTATATAAATACTTGATTTTAAAATAGTATTTCACACCAATTATCTGTATTTCAAGCTAAGAAACACTATGGGAAAGAAACTTATCTTTTTAGCTGATATAGATCATCATAGTCCATTAAAGTCGGTACAGATGACTGTATAAATTGCCAGATTTATAACAGCAAAGTATTTTAATTTGTTTTTTTTCTCCCTTCCCTGGAGTGGATTGGTGGTTTGGATAGATTTGAGGTCGCTACCTAGCACTGCCTTGCTTTCTCGCTGAAGATGATTTGCACTGTACAATGAAATTATGCTGATAAAAAAGTGACAACAGATAGCCCTTGGGGAAATTGTTTTGTCATGTCACCCAGATTTAATTAGCAGAAACTAGAAGAGGGGAAAAAAAAAACCACTTAACTGGCACTGAATGCCATTCATGTATTTCTGAGATTAGAATTCCCTGTGACTTGGAACTCAAAAAAAAAAAAAAAGGAAGTTATCTTATACTAAATTATGATTCAATTTTAAGAAAACATTATTTTTTTAATGTAATTAATTGAATAATGAAAAAGATATTAATCAATTACATAGCAAAAGTGGGTTTGCAGCTCTCTCAGACTCTTTTTTTTGTGCTGTGTATGTTGCCATTTCTGAGTTTTGGTTTGGGTGTCATCTCCCCCTTTTTAATATTATTATTATTATTTAGGTAGTACATACCTCATCTACAGACACGGTTTCCAACTCAGACTTCCATGCTACTAAGCCAAATGCTGTGAGAATTCAGGTTTATTTATATCACAATAAACAGTTTCATTTTCCAACACTAAAATAGATTTGCAAGAATATGATACCTTTTGTTTTATAGGACTGCTATATGAGCTGTGAGCTTTTTAAGAAATACTTTTTTTATTTAAGTATTTTCAATATGAAAAAAATTATGAAATAAGACTTACTAATTTAAGACATTAAACTTAATGGTTTCTGCCATAAGCTACAGTAGCTGCTAGATGGATAATGCAGTAACAGCCATTTTATTGGCTTCAAAACTGAGAGCTAAACATTTTGCAGAGGGGCTCAATTACAGGAACTCTCTCATCACATTTAAACACTTATGATTATTTTCTTGTCATAGTAAATTGCCTGTTCTGGGTAGTCGATGGACTTCACATAAATAGCGTTCCTAAAAACCCAAATGGACATTGAAGATGACATTATTCAAGATCATACCCTTCTCATTTTTCAACATCACTTTTTTAAAAATACTTATGTACATTCATTAAATTACAACATTTCTAGAGAAAAGACAATGCATTATTATGAATTGTATATAAACAATGTGTATCTAACCATATATAAAATGTGGTGCATCAACTTTTCTTAAAATGGCACCTATATACTTCCAGGAATTTGCTCCTTTCTTTCATTGCCAACAGCAAATAATTTTTGTTACTTTTAAAACCTCTGTGAATTTAGTAGCTTTACAATTGGATAATACTGGCTTGAGATTTCCTAAAGTAGGTGGCTGTTTTGTAAGCTTTCCTTGCAGATTTTGCCAGTACTAGCCCATTCAGTGTGTCAGCCCCAGAGGCTTATGTGCTCAGATTCAAGGCTGTCCTCTCTACTTAAAAATAAAAGCAAACCAGAGATTTAGACATGTGCATAGCAAATATTCCTGTTGACTTTATGTACTTTTTTGAAGCTAAATGCATAATTGAAAGGAATGATCCATGTGTCAGTTTAACTCAATTTGATTAATCAGTTTTATAGGCTAAGTTGTGTTATGCAGTTTTGAAGATGATAAGTTCTAGAAGTGTGTAAAGCTTCTTTGTGACTGAATGGAGGTATGCTGGTTTTCTGATCTTCCACATTCTCCATAGGTTTAAACAGCTGAGGCTGATAATATCAGTTTTGGGTAATCCAAGGGTCTATCTCTTCTGTTAGGTAAACTATGATCAAGCCTGGCATTCTGGTCACATCCACACAACATTTATAAAATGGATCAGCTCCTTGTTCTGTTCTGGGGTGCTTCAACTACTGTCCTGTTGCCAGGTAAGGCACATTCTGAAGAAAAATCACCCCACACACCGCTTTGAAAAAGGCAACTTAGAGAACACTGGTCCATCTTGATTCCCTCTACTCTCAATGGCTCTCTAACGTTACTCCAAGAAGTACGCCATTTGCAGACCAGAAAGCCAGCCGTGTCCTGGGCTTCATCAAAAGGAGTGTAACCAGAAGGCAGAGGGAAGTGATTCTCCCCCTCTACTCTGCTCTCATGAGACCACCACCTCCAGTCCTGAATTCAGCTCTGGGGCCCCCAACACAGGAGGGACTTGGTGCAGTTGGAGCAAGTCCAGAGGAGGTCATGAAGATGGTCAGAAGACTGCAGCAGCTCTCCTATGGAGCCAGGCTGAGAGAGCTAGGGTTGTTAAGCCTGGAGAAGAGAAGGTTCTGGGGGATCTTAGAGTAGCCTTCCAGTACCTAAAGGTGCCTACAAGCAATCTGGAGAGGGACTTTCGACAAGGGCATGAAGAGATAGAACAAGTGGGAGTGGCTTTAAACTGAAAGAGATTTGCTGATGTAGGATTGCACAAACCTAGATGATAAAATTTTAAGACACATGTAGCCAAGATTTCTTACACATTTATTTTTCAAAAGTGTTAAAATCACTAAAAAATTCAGAGGGACCAAAATTAAATTTCAGAAAAATCTATCTGGAAGCTCCCTTATGTGCAGAAATATCTCACCCAACACACCTACAGTATTAGTAGTTTTGCATTAGCACATCATTCAAATTCTAAACACATTCTTGAGGTGCTGAACAAGATATTCTGTGACAGCCAAAGACATAAATCTTGTTCAGTCACCCACAGACATGATAGAGTTAAGCAAAAAGCAATGAATTGCAGATATTACAGAAATGCCCACTGTGCATATCTGGAGATAATTTATGATTTAGAGAACACATCAGATGAGTTTGAAAGATCTAGGAGCAATTTCTAAAAAGCATGCAGGCTTCAGTTAATTCTAGATTCAATTTTTAACTGCTAGCATAAGGTTTACCTACTTGTGTAGCATATATAGGTGCTGAATGTCTCAGATAAAGCAATTTTTTTGTTGTTCATTCATTTATGACTTCCCGTTTCTCTTACCTTTCAGTGTGTACATGGAAAAGTATTTAGCATGATCCAAAAAAGATTCCAATGAAAATTATGGCTCTTATCATGCCAAGACTAATTCACAGTATCACAGTATCACAGTATGTTAGAGATTGGAAGGGACCTCAAAAGATCATCTAGTCCAATCCCCCTGCCGGAGCAGGAACACCTAGATAAGGTTACACAGGAACGGGTCCAGGCGGGTTTTGAATGTCTCCAAAGAAGGAGATTCCACAACCTCCCTGGGCAGCCTGTTCCAGTGTTCCGTCACCCTCACTGAGAAGAAGTTTCTTCTCAAGTTTAAGTGGAACCTCTTGTGTTCCAGTTTGTACCCATTGCCCCTTGTCCTATCATTGTTTGCCACTGAGAAGAGCCTGGCTCCATCCTCGTGACACTCCCCCTTTATATATTTATATACACTAATAAGGTCACCCCTCAGTCTCCTCTTCTCCAAACTATAGAGACCCAGCTCCCTCAGTCTTTCCTCATAAGGGAGATGCTCCACTCCCTTAATCATCTTAGTTGCCCTGCGCTGGACTCTCTCCAGCAGGTCCCTGTCCTTCTTAAACTGAGGGGCCCAGAACTGGACACAATATTCCAGATGAGGTCTCACCAGGGCTGAGTAGAGAGGAAGGAGAACCTCTCTTGACCTACTAACCACCCCCCTTCTAATACACCCCAGGATGCCATTGGCCTTCTTGGCCACAAGGGCACAGTGTCGGCTCATGGTCACCCTGTCGTCCACTAGGACCCCCAGGTCCCTCTCCCCTACACTGCTCTCTAACAGGTCGTTCCCCAATCTATACTGGAACCTGGGGTTGTTCCTGCCCAGATGCAGGACTCTACACTTTCCCTTGTTATACTTCATCAAGTTATTCCCCGCCCAACACTCCAGCCTGTCCAGGTCTCGCTGGATGGCAGCACAGCCTTCTGGCGTGTCGGCCACTCCTCCCAGCTTAGTGTCATCAGCAAACTTGCTGATAGTACACTCAATTCCCTCATCTAAATCATTGATGAATATATTAAATAATACTGTTCCCAGTACAGACCCTTGAGGCACTCCACTAGATACAGGCCTCCAACTAAACTCCGCCCCATAGACTACAACTCTCTGGCTTCTCTCCTTCAGCCAGTTCACAGTCCACCTCACTACCTGATCATCCAGACCACACTTCCTCAATTTAGCTGCGAGGATGCTGCGGGAGACTGTGTCAAACACTTTACTGAAGTCAAGGTAGACCACATCCACCGCTCTGCCATCATCCATCCACCGTGTTATTTCCTCCTAAAAGGCTACGAGATTGGTCAAGCATGGCTTCCCCTTGGTGAAGCCATGTTGACTGCTCCTCATAACCCTATTATCCTTGATATGCCTTAAGATGGCACCAAGGATAAGGTGTTCCATCACTTCCCCAGGAATGGAGGTGAGGCTGCCTGGTCTATAGTTACCTGGGTCCTCCTTCTTGCCCTTTTTGAAGACAGGAGTGACATTTGCTTTCCTCCAGTCCTCAGGCACCTCTCCCGTTTCCCAAGACTTGGTAAAGATGATGGAGAGCGGTCTAGCAATGACCTCCGCCCATTCCCTCAGCACCCGCGGGTGCATCCCATCTGGACCCATGGATTTATGGATGTCCAGATTGCTCAGCTGGTCTTTAACCCATTCCTCATTGACTAAGGCAGACCGCTCCGTTGACCTATCTTCATCTGAGGTCTCAGCGGTACAGGGCTCTTCAGGACTGCCTCCGGCAGAGTGTGGGTTAGTTGCTAACTGCACAAAATGAATACTAAGAAACCTCACTTTATAAACTCAGAGTTTAAAAATATTAACTTCAGTTTGAGCTTTTATGGCAGTTGCAATTATTCTAGTTTATTTCTAGCTACAGCACCATGATCCTATAAGGACCCTTTCTTTCTGAAAATATTAGTGTAAATTTTAAAATTTAATCTTTTCTGTGATTCTTTCTGATTGGGTTCATAAAGTGTCTATTTAATTTATAATACATGTTTTTAACTAAATTTGGCACACTTAAAGTGGATATAAGATTGAATGTTACACATTTATTTTGTCATTCAGTATTACTCTTTTATATTACCTGAAATCATTTTAACCTCTCAATAGGTCTCCAATACTGCTTTCCTTTCTCCTGTCTCTTTCATCAACCCTAGTATAGTCTCTTCTGGTTTTACCAGATTACAAAGTTATCTCTTTGATAAAGACTTCCTTCATCTGCTTAAAGTCACTGCTCCAAGTCTCTTTCCTGAGGTCAAGATCTGCAAACAAAAAAAAAACCATTTTACTGAAATGATTCTCCTCTCACTTCTGACTGCCTATAAATCCTCTTGTAGCACTAGTATTGATTATCATGTCAATAAGTATTTTACTTAGACACCTTCCACTGCACCAGATTGGTCAAGGCCCCATCCACCCTGACCTTGAGCAATCCCAGGGATGAGGCATCCACAGCTTCTCTGGGCAACTTGTTCCAGTGCCTCACCACCCTCACAGTAAAGAATTTCTTCCTAATATTTAATCGAAACCCTCTTCCAGTTTAAAGCCATTACTGGCCTTGCCTCTACCCTCTGTAGGTTTCCTTGCTGTGTTTGAATTTTTCCAGGAGCTCTTTATTCATCCATGCAGGCCTCCTGCTGTTTTTGCCTGACTTCCTCTTTGCTAGGATACATCACTCCTGAGCTTGGAGTTGATCCTTGAACATTAACCAGCTTTCTCGGGTTCCTCTTCCCTTCAGGATTTTATTCCATGGTATCCTACCAAGCAGATCCTTGAAGAGGCTTAACCCCTCTCTCTTGAAGTCCAGCATGGCAAGCTTGTTTTGGGTCCTCCTCTCCACCTTAAGGATCTCAGACTCCACCATTTAGTGGTCATTGGAGTCAAGGCTGCCCTTGAGCTTCAGTTTCCTCACCAGCCCCTTCTTGCTAGTGAGATCAAGGTCCAGCATAGCACCTCTCCTCATTGGCTGCATTATCACTTGCAGAAGGAAGTTATCATCAACGCAATCAAGGAACC